ACCATGAATTAGGAAACGCATTATAGAACATAAATCACATTCCCAAGTACATGATCCAATTTGCTAAAAATATAAAAGGAACGAAAGAACTTAAAGTGTCAAGATTGGAACAAAATCAGCTTTCAAGGCTCCAATAACTACTCAAAGAAGAATAGGCTAAGCTGTATCGATATCTGCCAATCCTATTTGCAGCATTCTCTCAATCATTCTTGCCGCTGCTGCCATTTATTTCCTTGTTAAACGGTGGGAGAGGATTAACAAGGAATGATTTCAAATGTCTGTAAAGCTCCTTGGACGTCTCTATATTGATTGCATACCCTGCGTTCTTTATTATTATCAGTTCTGAATATTGAGGCTGTTGAAGTTCGCATTGTCAATGCCAAAAATTTCAACCAAAGGTGAGAATTCATTATAGTGAAGGCAACTTCTTTAACTGCCCTAAACTTGGGACAGAAAGGTTTGATGTATCACATGAGCGTTCTTCCATGCAAGTTAGACGCAACAAAGCTGGTCAAATTAAGTTTCTAGCAATAATTAAGATAAAGAACCATGATTTAAAATTTATACAATAATTAGAAAAAAGGTAAGGAAAGGTCTGTGAAAATAGATGAGATGTCAATATCTTTGTTGCAACAGTAAATTTGTTAAAAATAACCCATCATCCTCCCCTCTTCCCTCCTTTGCGCTGCAACCACTATCTCCCCCCCTTCTCCTCTCTCCTCTGTCCCCCTCCTCTCCCTCCCCCTCCCTCTTCATCTCTCTTTTCCTCCCCTCCCTTCCATCCTCCCTCCACCCTCTTCCCCTCTCCTCTCTTCTGCTCCCTTCCCCTGCCCCCCACCGTGAAGCTAGGAAAGGCGGTTGGTGGAGGGTGGAGAAAAGGAGTGGAGGGGAATGGTGAGAGAAGGGACGGGTGAATGGGGAGGGAGGAAGGAAGGGAGGCTAGTAAGAGGTAGAGGGAGGAGGAAGATGGATGGGAGGAAGAGGAAGAAAAGGGTGAGAGGAGGGGAGAGGTGGCGGTGAAGAAGGAAGGAGAAAAGAGGTGGTGGATGGTGGTGCATAGTGGGTGAAAAAAGAAAAATTGGTAGAATTTGTTACTTGTTATTTTTCTTATTTTTATAAGTTATATTTGATATTGTGTGCTTTTTGAATTATTTTTGGAGTTTGTTATTATACACCCCACAAAAAAACAAAACAATTTGTAAGAAAAACACTCAATTCCAGCAAAGCCAATACATTTTAGCATGAGATCTTGGATCCATTTTCAAGTTAAACCCGTCCACTTTATCCAATCTTCCTTTGAAAAAAATGTCATGTATTTGATGTTATTCTCATGTTAAGTTGAAATAATCTTCTATTGTTGATGAAAGTATGCACAAATCTTGAGCTCAAATCAATTTGAATCACCTTGGTGAGCTTTAACTTAGTATCACCAACATTTATTGTGCTGTGCATTTGGAATGGTGAGGTTATTTTTCCTGGTAAATCAAAAGTGGGTTGAGTTCGAGTCGAGCCACAAAGTTAAAAGTCTAATCATGAAATCTTATTGTCACCTTACTAATATTCCAACTAGTTGTGTTTTAAGAATGATAACCTAAAATTTGAATAACCCAATAAAGACAAATAGCCACTCGTTAATGATATGGTGAGTAAACAAAAAATCATCTCATATCTAATAAAAACTTGACATACCCTACATTTCCATTGATCTTTAACTTGATCTCATAGCACAATTTCACAATTATATGAAATAACACATATGGTCAACTGCTGGAGTAAGACTAACATGAACAAAAGCCCCACACTTATTTTGAGATGAGAATTAATGTTAGAATCTTACAAAGAATCCGACAGATGCATGCGATGTCGGATGCGTAGACAACCAAGAAACTGCAAGTTAATCTTCATTCCTCTCTCACACTTGTATCCATATATATATATATTAGTAATAGTTCACGTGCAAAGCACGTGATTGTAATATTTTAAAATATATTATTCTTTAGATACTAAATTTTTTTTTATGAAATTTTGATAATCAACATCATAACATAGCATTTTTATGTTATTTATTTTTTTAAACTAGTTACTTTTAAAAACTTTATTAAATGAAAAGAGATAAAAAAAATCCCAATGTAGTTGACTCCCTTAGGATTGAATTTGGAATTATGAACCGAACACTTTTTGATTTATAATTTGAACTCTAACATATCAAATATTGATAATATCATGTTTTACCAAAATTATTGTATATTCATGATTCTATTGCACAAAAACCACAATCATTACAATTTTTTATAAATGAAGAATATAATTAAGTTAGAAAAATAAACATATACGTAATTTGAATTCTTTGTATTATATTAATTATATTTTTATCAATAATGGAGTATAAATGATCCATCACATAAAGTTTTTTTGGCTTATACATTCTGACAATTAAAATTTGATAGATAGAGATAGTTGAAGTTTTTCTATTTTTCTTTTCTTTTATGCATATTTTTAGCACAATCCAATGCGGAGCAAAAACAACAAGTCTACTTTTTTCATATGAGTACAATATTTTTTGTTTTATAATGTTTTTTCTGATAATCATGCAATTGGAATGAGAATTATGGGTAATTAACAATTTTAATATTAATTTTTTGTATATTGCAATGTTATATTTTTTAATTGCTGACTTTTAATCCATAACCGGTATCATTATTATCAATTATTGGAATGCACTAAATCTATCTAATTACAATTGTCACCATAAATAAAATTTACTTAATTTTAAAGTTTTGCATTTCATAACCTCTTCCATTATTCACTAATATTTCAATGCAATAAATATATGTGATCATTAGAAAAATAAGGGTATTTTGAGCATAACCAATAACAATTTGGATATCATTTTCATTTTATCAATCCTCATTTTAAGTTTACTCTTATTATAATTCTTATTTTATCATTAGAGATGGCTTTTGATTTGGTGGATGGACTTGGTTTGCTCAAACCAATACAAATGAAGCATTACTATATTATTGTCAATAACAATGTTTGTCTTTCCTTGGATATCAATAATTTGGAAGTTATCTTTGGTATTATTTGAATTGTATTCTAGTTTTTTAATTCATTTGCTATTTACTTTATGTCATTTTATAAATAGTTTTCAATTTTTTTCAGTTCTTCTTGTTTTGATCGGTTGCTATTAATGATAATAGTGGTTTGTATGGTGCTATGTTATATTTCTTATTTCTAGTTTAATACTACTATTTCAGTTATAAAGGTGTCATCATTTTTTGGTGCAATATGAAAAATTCTTCATCATTACTATAGAAAAACTATGAATCTTGGTAAAAAGTGCACAATTGTAAAATTTGCTTGTGATGTTTGTATAAAGATATACAGATGAATAAGGATTCTCTTCTCCTTATACGTTTCTCCATTTTCTAGAGAATATCTATTTTTTGACATTGATTTTTCTTTTACAATCTCAACTAATGACTAATAAGAAATTTTTCATACTTCAATTAAGAAATTTTGATATGTATAATAATTGGAGATAGAGTCTAAGGGTAGGTAAATAGTTTTAATTATAATTACCAATACTATTAAGATGTAATCAATTGGAGGTTTTATTTCTTTTCATTAGTGCCACATTAAAATGAAATAATTCTAATAAAAAGACATAAAAAGGTAATTGGGGATAACAAAAACTAAGATAAAAAAGTGCTTACACTTATACTTCCTCGTACCAAGATTCATACTTTTTATATAGTACAGGTAAAATACCAAAAACTCCCTGTGGTTTGACAAATATTCAATTTAACTCCCTCTGACTTGAAAACCTACACTATAACTCCCTATGATTTTGATTAAATTGAAAATTGGACATAAAACATCAAATCTAACGGTTGTGTGTGAAATGTCAATATTGTCCTAGTATACGTGAGATGCTTTCCATTCAATTTTCAATTTAGTCGAAATCATAGGGAGTCTTAGTATAATTTTTCAAATCTGAGGGAGTTAAATTGAATATTCAACAAATCATAGGGAATTCATTTATATAAGGGCAATATTGACATTTCATGTATAACTGTTAGATTAGATGCTTTCCATCCAATTTCAATTTAGTTGAAATTACAGAGAGTTATAGTATAGGTTTTCAAACTAAAGGGAGTTAAATTGAACATTTAGCAAACCACAAGGAGTTTTTGGGTATTTTACCCATATAGTAATGATAATGATAATGATATATATATAAATATATATATATATATTTATGAAATTTCAGATATTAAATTGCCTGCAATACTGACTAAGATGAAAGAAAGCTAAAAGAATAAAGAAGCGTTGCTGCATTAGACGTAACAGTCATGAATCATGACGGCCACTGCAATACCACAGACAAATCAACAAATCGCTAGAGGAATAATGCAGTTATAGATGAAGAAAAAGAAAAGATGATTCTGTAATATTGTCCGGAAACTGGGGCAGCATGGAAACCAATTTTGCTTATTCTCAAGTTTTTTCGATTGAATTGGACCTGGACTTATCTTCGATGAGTGGAGAGATCTAAGAGAATTATTGATTGGTCTTAAAGGGATTTGCAAGTCGATGGGGGAATTATATGTTGTTTAACACTTCCGTTTGAACACTTCTTTGTCTGAAAATGATATGAATTTGTACAGTCGATGTTATTCAACCATCTATCTAGTTGTTGTTTTTGGACTTTAGGCCTACAATATTGTACACCAGAAAAGAAAATTTCATTCCAAATAATCATGAAATACTTTTCTGTCTTCAATCAACCAATTCAGAACATTTCAATCGAATCTTAGAACTTTTCTGGTTCCCAAAACACAGGCTCTTTGTTGCTGCTAAGGTTGTCCACTTAAAAAGTTTATTCAGGTCATCGATCCTTTCCAACCACGTATCAACTTTGCACCAAAACACCCCCCCACAAAACAAAACAAAAAAAAAAACCTTTTAGCATCATCACTACCACTGTACTACCACCCATGTCAAAGGTAGGAGAAAATAATTCTGCATGGTCTTTGTCGGGAAAAACAGCTCTAGTTACCGGTGGAAGTCGAGGAATTGGCCGTGCAATTGTGGTGGAGCTAGCTCAACTTGGTGCCACAGTCCACACCTTTTCGAGAAAAGAAGCAGATCTGAATGAATGCTTGCAAGAATGGTCCTCCAAGGGATTCAAAGTGACTGGTTCAGTCTGCGATGCATCTTCAAGAGAGCAAAGAAATCAGCTCATCGAAAAGGTCTCTTCCATCTTCAATGGGAAGCTCAACATCGTTGTAAACAACGTTGGAACAACCAAAATGAAGCCAGCTGAAGAGTTTACCTTGGAAGAATATGACATGATCATGTCTACAAATCTTGAATCTTCTTTCCACTTTTCCCAACTCGCTTATCCTCTCCTAAAAGCCACTGGGATTGGAAACATCGTCTTCATTTCTTCTATTGCTGGCTTGGTCAGTGTAGAAGGTGCATCTGTTTATGCAGCAACAAAAGGTGCAATGAATCAACTCACCAGGAATTTGGCTTGTGAATGGGCTAAAGATAACATTCGCGTAAATTGCCTTGCACCTGGGGCTATTAAAACCCCATTAACGGAATCTGTGCAGGATTATGATGAAAAATTGAAGAAAATGGATGCAAGAACCCCAATGAATCGAGCTGGAGAACCAGAAGAGGTTTCATCCCTCGTTGCTTTCCTTTGTCTGCCAGCCGCTTCCTACATAACCGGACAGGTTATAGCTGTCGATGGAGGACTGACTGCAAATGGAATCCAGTGGAATTAATCATTAAAGGCTCTATCTTGCTACTGATGCAATAGTTCACCAAGATCTAGTGTTTAATCTATACGTATTTTGTTGTAAAAGGAAGGTATGTGCTCGGTTTTTATAGTAAGAAATTGAGAATTGACTCGTATGAATTCTCAATTGGTCTACTCTGCACCACTGCTATATTGCACAAGTATGTAATTGTGACTATTCTAATAGTATCTCTAGCTAATTTGCCTATTGATTTATGGGTTAATTCTAGTACTATGTTGATTACTCTTCACACTTTTATCAAAAGGTAGCATCTAAACGGCGGAGTGCTTATCATGAAAAGCATACACTTGGAAGGGCAATTGCTGATCTCCCAGTCTGACTTCCACCTACAGAGATCATGGCAGCTGCATTGTTATTAGAGGCGGCAAAATGGGTGATTTGAGCGAGTTTGGGTTGGGTAAAATGAGTAATGGGTATAAGTGAGTCAACCCATTTATATCCATTTAATTAGATGGGTATAAATGGGTAAGTCAAAAAATGAGTTGGATAATCCAATTATTCTAATTTTTTAGAAGCTCATATAAATTCATTTTGTAAACTAAATTATCAATTTATACCATTTTACACCATCATTAATTTTAACTATACAGGAGCTCTGTAATTACATTTACTCGTGCAAGTGGACAAACTTGTCTATTTGAACCTGCTTTCAAACAACTGTGCTCTCTATGTGGGATGCCTTCATTGCAAATGAAGGTGCAAAGATCATGGCAGATCTTCAAAACCATCCTGCTATTATTGGAAGAAGGTTGTATGGTCCAGAATTACAACGGTAGCTGAAACATTCTTTTGGGACCGTTCCTGCAGGTTATTAATTGATACATGTGTTTGTTTTGACGGCTATCAACGAGAAGCTTTCCCTTCTTCCTGTCAAAGCTTTTTTGCCAAACTGTTAAATTTCCAAGGTTGGTTTATTCATTTAACTAAATATTTTGCAGGCCGTATGGGTAAAAGTCTCGTTCTCTTTTGAGCGCATATCTTTGAAAGGTTTTGGTACATGGCCGGTGAGAAATGTTTTTCCGCTCTACAAGTGCCGATCATGGAGTTGCATTTATGTTATTCAGTCCTTTTCCCCATGCAGCGCCAATATCTATCATTTGATCCTGGGCATATTTGTAATTTACCACCGTACGCGAGTACGAGTACGAGTACGAGTACTGTGATCTCTCCTAGTTTTAATAAATGCTTCCCTAATTGGTTGGTCAACATTTTGTAGATTGATTAAGGAATCTAGTCAGAAAAATTGGGAATGAAGCATAATGTATTAATTTAGATGACATTAGAATTTTATGATAAAGAAAATTACTAAAAAAAGGATTTCTTTTTTTCTTCTTTTAAACTCATCTTTCACCTATAATTTGTAAAGTTTATGAAAACTATCATAATCTTTTCATTGCATCAAGGGAGATAAGTGTAATTTTACAAGACCTCATGGGAGGTGACCACAATTGTTAGAAACCTCCACGGAGGTTTCTGAAATTAGACATTATTTTGAAGATATGATTTGTTTCATTGTATTGGATGACACTGGATGACTATTTTCCACATTTTTTTTGTTTAGGTAAGTTATCATCTCGGAGAAGATCCATTTGGACTGTTGATTGGTCCAGTTAGACTGTTGATTGGGCTAGCCGGGGCCCAATTTCCTACAAGTGTTGCGAATTTTATATACGTGAACTTCAATGGGCACGTCTTCGGGCCGAAACATTGAGCTCAAATAAAGAATACCAGCTTAAGTTGGGAGTCTAAAATTGCTGCAGTGTGAAGTATTTTCAAATAACGACATAAAATTCAAGAAAAGTAACATTCATCCACTAAAAATATGTTGAAAGTCTTTAGTTCAACCAACATTACTAATTAAAGCACATATGATGTCTACCTTTCTTTTTCCATGATTGTTTTTTCCATTGAAAACTGGAATTTTGTGCTTTTTACGTTACATGAATTTCACCAGGTCGTAGTGTGAAGCAACTCATAAACCATCCTCAAAATGATTATCAAAAAAGAAATAAATCAATTTTCTTAACAGCTTCCCAAGTGAAAAGCTTTAATTTGGGCACAGGTGATCCCAAGTCCCAACAAAGTATTGGAGTCTTGTCTGCCAGGACAATGGAGGAGTTAGAGCTACTTCTCCCCAACAATGGGAACAAATTCCTCTTCTTCTCCTAAAATAATATAGGAAAATTTAATTAAAAAAAATAAAATCCAAGTTTGAAACCATAGATTCCAATTCTTAAGAGCCTAAGAATGGATAGAATTTTTTGATGTTAAGACCATGGACGTATCAGACCAAAAGCTATTCTTAGTATTGTCAGCCAAAGCTTTTATCTATCAAATTACCAAGCTCACAAGATGCAGAACATGCCCGACAGAAAATAGAATTAAATGGTACACATATAGGCAAAACACAGAAAACAAAGAACTTCAAATTTTTTCTGGAAAGTAAACATTTGCCTTGATAAGGTATATGGTCCACTCAGCTATTCTCCTATTCAAATCCATAGACAGTCATTCCTCCATCTACAGCTATAACTTGGCCGGTGATATAGGAAGCAGCCGGCAGACAAAGGAAAGCAACCAGGGAGGAGACTTCTTCTGGTTCTCCGGTTCGCCTCATCGGAGTTCTTGATTCTACCCTCTCCTCGTATTCTTTGTCACTCAATTTCTCTTCAACTAATGAGGTTCTAATAAACCATGGCGCAACAGAATTAACCCGAATATTATCTTTAGCCCACTCACAAGCCAGATTTTTGGTGAGTTGATTCATTGCACCTTTTGTCATTGAATAAACAGATAAATGGTGCACATGTACCAGGCCTGCGACTGAGGACATGAACACGATGTTCCCAATCCCAGATGCTTTCAGAAGCGGATAAGCGAGTTGAGAGAAATGATAACCAGAATCAAGATTTGTAGACATAATCAAATTATACTCTTCAGCAGTGAACGCTTCAGCTTGCCTGAATACAGCTGTTCCAACGTTGTTGACGAGGATATTGAGCTTCCCATTGAAGATGGAAGAGACCTCTCCGATGAGCTGAGTTCTTTGCTCTCTTGAAGATGCATCACAGACCGAACCGGTGACTTTGAATCCCTTGGAGGACCACCCTTGCAACCGTTCATTCAGTTCTGATTCTTTTCTTGAAAAAGTGTGCACTTTTGCTCCCAGTCCGGCTAGTTCCTCCACGATTGCACACCCTATTCCTCGAGTTCCACCGGTGACCAGAGCTGTCATTCCAGATAGAGACCATCTTGAACTAATTTTTCCTACGGTACTTTCCATGATTGATGGTGGGATGAGCCTCAAGATGTCAAAAGCCTGATCTTGATATAGAGATTTTTGGCAAATAACTTGTTAAGATAATGCAACATCCCATTTTATCGAGAAGGGTTAGGTTAGGTGATAAGATGTGATGAACTGTAATAGAAAGTTATCGACTCATGGGTTCAAGACTTTCCACTTAAAAAAAAGGGAAAATCATTCAGAACGTTCATTTCTTTTTGTAAATTAACTTTTTTCGTCCCTCACATTTAAAAGTATAATTTTATATCCTTTATAAATTCACATTGATCAAATTTGCTCCTTATCTAGGTTTCTGACTAGTTTTTAATCGGAATCCATCACGTGTCTTACATGTGATAATTTTTTAAGAGTAAAATTGTCAAATCAAATTTTACATAATCCGATTCATAGTCCCTCACATTTCATAAAATGAATTTTTTCATCCTTCATTGAAACATTTCATAGCCAACCGCAGAGTAAGCGCATAAAAGTTGGAGATTAGGGCGGAGTGATCCTACTCAATCTCAACCATGCATTTAAAAATCAATACTAAGATCAAGTCAACCCATTCTAACTAAGATCTCCAATCAACTACTCCCTCTCTGTATTAATATGTTTGTCGCTTTTCATGAATCCAACATTTTAAAAATAGTGTTTTGATTATAATGTTTGTAAATTTTTTTTTAATTTTACCTCCCAAATTTCAAAATTTTAAATTTGAATATGAAATGTGTATGAATAGAGGAATGGGCAACAATGACAATAGGCTAAAAATGATTCTGACTTATGTAACACGACAAACATTTTAAAACATTTCAAATGTAAAACATGACCAATATTTTGGTAATTTTTTTTTTCAGAAATAATAACAATTGTGTTAGGAATTAGTAGATATCGATACCTTATTATATCAAATAGATAAATTCAGTCAAAGACAGCTAATTAACACTTTATTTTATTTAATTGTCAATCAAAGTTATATGTATCAAAGCAAGGTTGTATAAGACAATATTCTAGTCAAATTGGAGCAATTAACCTACTTTGACTAGTTAATACGCAGCAAAAATATGCAATAGCTCATGATTCCAACCTATTCTTAATCATCCGACAAAGGGCGACTAGTCCTTTTCTAAGATGACAGAAGACCAATCATATACATTCTTTTGCTAGAAGGAAGGGGCAAGTCCAATAACTCGGCAAGAAACCATTTTTCTTTCTTTGGGGCCAAAGACAGTAAGAAACTGTGGTTGAAATAAGACATGTACCACCAAGCACTGGAAGAGAGAGAGAGAGAGAGAGAGAGAGAGAAGAACTGTACATAACAAATATCTAGCCTTCGACCCCATAGACTTAAACTAGGGATAATTGCAGAAACCTCCCTTCAGGTTTGTAATAGTTGCATTCACCTCCCTCGAGATTTTAAAAATAGCACTAACATCCCCTGAACTTAAGTTTTTTGATAGCAAATTCAGCCTATATCAGAGAAAATGCCATTAAAAAAATCTTTTCAGAAATAAGATAATAATTTTGTTCCATTTGTTATCTTTTTGTCTCTTGTAAGGCTGTATTAGTAAAAGAATGAAAAATATTAAAAAATGAAAACAATTAGTGAAACACTTAGGGTGCAATAGCAACAACTAGAAGAAACAATGAGCATACGTTCAGAAATTTGAGATTCTAAAGCATATAAAATGTACAAAC